TTCTTTTTCAATTTCTTTTGTACAGGTTCTGAAATTGTTTTTGTGGATTTATCAGGAACTTTCCCATTAGTACTTGTAGAGGCTGTCGAGAAAGTATATTATTAATTATTGAACGAAACTACAGTTGCTTTAAAGAAATGATTTTAAATATATATATTCTTACTGCAAGGCTTGCTTGGCTTGTTAGCAACTGATTTAGAATTTGGTACATTTTTTTGTTGACTTGTAGTAGCTATTGATTTAGCAGGTGGTCTCTGTTGTTTAACAACAGGTGCTACTGTAGCAGTTGCTTTTGGTTTGGCTGGTAGTTTTCTCTTTGCTGTTGTTTTTACTTTGCTTGGCGATTCTTCTGATTCCGAAGAATACACTACAGGTCTATTCTTTGGTGGTACCCTTTCTTTGTTTTTATTTTCTATAGATGGGGCAGTAACTGTGTCAGTTTTGGATTTGCCATGCCTATTAGGAGGAAGTGTTGTTTTCCTCTTTGTCCTTTCTGTATCAGATGCTTTTTGACTATTAGCAGAACTGCTAGAATTTTCTGAATCGGATGAACTAGATTCACTGCCTGAACTTGAAGAACTACTGGATGAAGAACCAGAACTTGTTGTTGAGGTGGATTCTGAACTAGTGGCCTATCATTAATAATAATAACATATACATTAATTCAGATTTGTATGTAATATAAACTATGAAGTCAAAGTGATTGTATAACCTGTACAAGATGTATATACCTTCCATTTTGGAGTCATTTCTATAGTGCTATCTCTTAAATAAGCAACAAACGGTATTTAACATCATTTCTGCAATAATATCTGTACACCTCCCAGACATGTACGGAAGAATTATTTACAATAAACTTGATCAAAGCAACAAACCTTCCATTTTATATTTTGACTTACACATAACAAACTCACAACATACTAACACATATCACATATTACAGTCCTGCGCACAAGTAATATGATCTTAGGGCTAGTTTGAAAATGATAGAACTGTTTTGTCCTTCCCTTTCTCTTTGTATACAATGTTTTAGTTGATTTGCAAGTCATTGCAGAAATAACTTATATCGAATGTTGAGATTTAAATATCTCAAATTATTCTTTAAATTTTAAGAAAATGAAAAAATGAGTAGTTTGTAAGATCGTAAGATGTATAGTATAGATGGCACTTTCATCGAATATTCCAAAATCCAGATGGATCTCTTCATGACATAGAAGAGTACCGGTGTACGTTCTTTGATTTTGCGTTTTTAAATTAGATCCAAAAAAGATATAAACTGAAATTATAACAATGACGGCATTCGAAGGTAAATATGCCTATTAGGCATATTTCTGGCGTTGTAATTATATAAGAAAAATCATAATTATAGATGTTGCTTATGAAATTGTCAAAATGTTTTATATATGAACAACTTTTTATTTTAGAAATGGGTGTTTTACCCGAAATCGCGAAAGCAGTTGACGAAATGGAGTGGACGTAAGTAAAATAAAATTATATCATGCGTATGAAAAGAAATATTAAATACCATCAAATACCTTTACACAGATTGCCAACTGATGTTCAAGCTGAGGCAGTTCCACTAATTTTGGGTGGTGGAGATGTGTTAATGGCTGCAGAAACTGGCAGTGGGAAAACTGGTGCCTTTTGTCTACCAGTTTTGCAAATTGTCTGGGAAACTTTCAAGGATCTAGAGTCTGGTAAAACAGGCAAGACTTCGAGCAATAATGGACATCAGCAACATTGTACGTTCCTTTTCATATTCATTATAACATGTTCGTTCTTTTATTTAATGTTGTTATAATTATTTACAGCTTCACATTGGTCGTTAAGTTTATTTGATAGAGGTAAAGCATTAGCTGTGACTCCGGATGGCTTACGATGTCAGAGTCGTGAACAGAAAGAATGGCATGGCTGTAGAGCAAACAAAGGAATTCTAGGGAAAGACAAATACTTCTTTGAAGCTATAGTAACTGATGAAGGATTATGTCGTGTAGGCTGGTCTACGTCTCAAGTAATTCTCATGAATTTTTGTTAGCTTTTCAAAAATGATGTTGTCAAATAGTTATAAATATTACTGCATTTATGATATAGGCTTCACTGGATTTAGGAACAGATAAATTTGGTTTTGGATATGGTGGTACTGGCAAAAAATCAAATGCAAAACAATTTGACAATTATGGAAAGGCTTTTGGAATGCATGATGTTGTTGGATGTCTTCTAAATTTATCAAAGGGAGAGATTAGCTTCACATTGAATGGTGTGGGTCTGGGTCCAGCATTTACTCTGAATGCACAACAAAAATCACAGACTTTTTACCCAGCTGTAGTATTGAAAAATGCAGAAATGTCATTCAATTTTGGAGCACAGCCATTTAAGTATCCCCCTCCAAATGATTATATAGCTGTTGCTTCAGCTCCTAAGGAAGTTATAAATGAGAATCCTATAAACAGTAGCCAAACTCATAAGGAAAATGGCAAGCCTAAATGCAATGCCCCTCAAGCTATAATCATGGAACCTTCGAGAGAACTTGCTGAACAAACATATAATCAAATTCAAAAAGTAAGATATCAGTAATGATTAATCCCAAAATACTTTTTTGCTTAAAATATTTAATACATAAAATGATATCTCTATATAGTTTAAAAAACATTTGAAAGATCCAGTCATTAGAGAATTGTTAGTTATTGGAGGAGTTAGCGTAAAAGAACAAATTGCTACATTAAATTCCGGTGTGGATATAGTAGTTGGAACACCAGGTCGTTTAGAAGATTTAATACAAGGCGGCTACTTGTCCTTAACACATTGCAGGTACTTTGCAATGCGTTTTATGCTAGATTTATCAAGATAATGGTTGTTATAGTACAGTTCTTTTAGGTTTTTCATTTTGGATGAAGCCGATGGTTTATTGAAGCAAGGCTACACGGAATTAATCGATCGTTTGCACAGACAGATACCAAAAATTACATCAGATGGGAAAAGATTACAAATGATCGTTTGTTCTGCCACACTGCATGCATTTGAAGTTAAAAAAATGGCGGTAGGTATTTATAATGCCATTCGTATTTTTATGCAATATTTTGTAAAAAATATATATAAGAAATAAATTTACTTCGCATAGGAACGTTTGATGCACTTTCCAACGTGGGTAGACTTAAAAGGTGAAGATGCAGTTCCCGAAACAGTACACCATGTTGTTGTAATAATCGATCCACAGAAAGATAAATCTTGGCACAACTTAAGGAAACATATAGAAACTGACGGTATTCATAGCAGGGATAACATAAGACCTGGAAATAACAATCCTGGTATGTTTTAAGTTAAATAAACTCGTATAATTTTGAAATTCCTCTATCTTTAATTATGTGATTAAATGTTTTTCATAGAGACACTCTCAGAGGCTGTGAAAATACTAAAAGGTGAATACTGTATTCGTGCCATTAAAGAACACAACATGGACAGAGCTATAATTTTCTGTAGAACTAAATTGGACTGCGATAACTTGGAACGATATTTGAAACAATCTGGTGGAAACCAATTTTCATGCGTATGTCTCCATGGTGATAGAAAACCTGCGGAACGCAAATCTAATTTAGAGAAGTTCAAAAGGCAGGAAGTAAAGTTCTTGATTTGTACCGATGTCGCAGCTAGAGGTTTAGATATTTCGGGATTACCTTTTAGTACGTAATCTTCACTAACTTTTAACAAATTCGTTTGTAATTGTGATTTGCTTATATAATTTTTTTCTAGTGATTAATATGACCCTACCTGATGAAAAATCCAACTACGTACATCGCATAGGTAGAGTCGGTAGAGCTGAACGAATGGGTCTAGCAATTTCATTAGTTAGTAAAGTTCCTGAAAAAGTGTGGTATCACGGCGAATGGTGTCCTTCTCGTGGAAGGAACTGTTCCAATACTAATCTTACTGATAAGGGTGGTTGTTGCATTTGGTACAACGAACCAAACGTAAGATTTGATACAACATGACATACTTAGCTTTTTTTGACATTCGATATTGCTAACGTCATTTTTTCAGTACTTGGCTGAAATTGAGGATCATTTAAATGTCACGATTCAACAAGTCGATGCAGATATAAAGGTTCCATTAAATGATTTCGATGGGAAAGTTGTATACGGAGAAAAGAAAGCAGCCATGGGTATGTAAATTTTGTGTTCGTGTTGTAATGTGAATTATATCGAATATTTATAATTTTTTAGGTTCAAATTACCAAAATCATGTGCAGCAAATGGCGCCCTACGTGAACGAATTATCTTCTTTGGAATCAAAAACACAACTTTTATATTTGAAGAGGCATATGGTAAAAACGAGCTAAAATACTTTTAAATGCTAATACGTAATCATATGAGAATCTACGTTCACTAAGCTTCTCTATCTTTGAATATTATATTTCAATATGTTATACCAGTGTTTGAATAGTCTCTTAATATTTATAAACGTAGTGTACTTCTAAATGTAATATATAAATTTGTTACAAGTAATATAACATCTTACTTCTTGTAACAATGTGTCTCGACATTTACTTCATAATTAACTATTAATGAAGTATTCTTGATATATAATTTCTAAAGACATAATAGCACTTAAATAGCACTTAGATAGTATATGTGTATATAAGACGTACGGTAAGTGTTTATTGTATTTTTATAATTTTCATAATTGTACCATCACTATTTTAGTTACACAAATGTATTATACAGTGGCCTTGCAGTGTTGTTAGTTTTGTAATTTTCACAATATCTCTTTGTATGTTTTTTGTGTTTTGTATATGGCACGTGCGCAAACGCGCGCATGTTGTGATTCAGTTTTGTTTAGTATATATGTATATATTATATACTCTTAGAATTTACTAAATGATCTTTGTTTAATTACACATAATAATTTATACACATTTCTCGAAATCAATAATAAACGACTAAAGTTATACAGTATACAAATCATACTGTTTGTTTTCTGCATTCAGATATAGCGTACGTGTTCTCCCTTTCTTTCTTAAATAGTGTATATGATTTACGTGTTAACACACGTTACACGGACATAACACGTTTATGTTATTCACACGAGCGAACGAGACGCATGTATCTTCACACTTGCAGATGGTTTCTTTTTATTCCTTTTGCACAATTAATACAACACGAGCCGAACTTTTTATTCACTATAATAATTTAATTGATTAATCAGCATAGATCCATGAAAACATTTCTTTTTTCCCTTCATATTCAGACAGTCATCACAGAATGAGAATGAAATATTTTTTGTATCTTCTTGTAATTTAAAAACACATTTACAGTCGTACGGATCATTCTTCCCTTTTTTTAATGCACACTGGCTATCACACACGCGGAATTATTCGATCGCATTAACTCAACATGAATTATACTTATATAATATACATATATATTTATATGACATAAATATATACATATACTTATTTATATATTTATATATATATATATATATCAGTTTATTGTATATACTACATGTCCACCCCACGATTTTTACTTAAATAGCTTCGACAACTAAACGACTCAGACGATCAATACTTGTTCACATATTTTATATAGCAACCATATCTTTTCATTTGATTGGATTGTACGCAATGTTCGTCGGCTTATGTATCTCCTTTCTTTGCCCTTTTATTACGCAGTTATATCATAGATACTCGTTAGTCTAGGATTTAAAAAAGAAATTCTCCGTGCTGGTTCTCATGCGGACACAGCATTTTAATACCAAGAAAAATCATGGGGCGGGCAACATTTAATTTGGTTTCCTAACGAATTTCTTGTGTTATTACTCATTTACATCACACGTATTTTTTATTCCATATTTTTCTGTGTATGTGTATATTTTTTTCTGTATACGCGTTATTATTCATTCACTCGTATATAATTAGTGCTTATTCGAATATTACTGTCCGATGATTCCTGCTTTCGCTTTTAGTTTTGCGTCTGCATCAATAGTTTCTTTCTTAAGTCTTCAGCTAAACATACTTCTAAGATACACGCAACAACGAAGTCATTAAGAATCAGGGAGGAAACCCGGTTTTTTTTTTATTTAGAAGGGAGGGTGGACGTACTTATCGACGAGTTGGTAAAACTCTTTTCACCCTCTCTCTTTCTTAGTTTCTCAGTTCTCATACCTTATTACATGAATACATTTACACACGAACAATTAAGTGATCCGTTATTCTTTCTTTGCATCCCTAAGATCGCCAAGATATATTCCCTTCTCTTTTTACATAATTTTCAATCAGTTTTCAAATAACTGTAATATCCAATAGAATGTTCGCCAGCTTCCAAGTTACAACATCTCACTTCGATCACCGTTCATTTTTATTTATTCGGATATAAATTCCGTAATTTTATAAAACGATATTATCCTCGTATCAAACGAATGCTCGTGATTCTTGAACGTTTTGGATTCTAGCGAACAATGCGATAAAAACTAGAAAAAAGACTTCGAACAACACCAACGATCGATCATTATACATGTAGCTATATTTTTATATAAATTACTCTGACAGAGTATGTGGCAAGAGCCCATAACTCTTCTCGTGTGTTTGTTTATTGTTTAACGAATAGGATAATTGCTGTGCTCGAGGCACAGACAGCTCCTTTTCTTGTCTTTCACAATTTCATTCGATAAGTCTTCGAATCAAAGTGGTTTTATGTTGCATCGTGACCCGGCAATCTCATCAACGAAAAATTACAAAAGAACGCACGATTTCCCAATATAAGATTACTTTGATGATCCTAAGAGTACTATTAAAGCAATCTGGATTTCCCATCAAATATGAAGAATCAACAAAACAATTGAAATAAGTGTTACATCAGGCACGATTCACGATCAGGGACAATTTGCAACCATGACTTATAACGGCTGACAAGATATTTTAGATAAAAGACAGTGGAACATTTTTTTATTGCCTATTCGTAAATTCGAATGACTGGATGGGAGGGTAAAGTGGTGGTATTGGAAAGATTATGTCGTCATTTGGGGAATTTACAGGGAACCGCTCTTGATATTTCGTGATACTTTCACGATGAGACCGTATTTCGTTTACACGTTCATTCTACTAATAAAATGCTTGTTAATCACGAACGTGTTCGTTACATACATCAAAACGATTAGCGAAAATATTCAAAGAACTTTCCGAGGCAAGTCGTAATTATTCGACGTAAGCAATTAATTTTACTTTACTATGAAAGATATCGAAAAGTAAAAAACCGAAGGAAATAACAACGTACGTATCTTTGTTTCAAATCAATTAAGACAGATTGGTACGCGTATTCGAGCGAGAGACGTTTCCATCTCTCCTGGCCCTCTATGTTTTTCTCGGTGAAAATAATTTAACGAGAAATAAAAATAATATCTTCGCATCTCTGCATATGTAGAACATGCATTGTTATTTATTTGAACGATTATTGTAATCTCAAACGATTGAACTTATTGACTTTCCATGCATTCGTGCATGCGTCATCGATTTACTAATTCCGACAACTTTCAGAACGATTATCCAGTCTCTATGCATATACGCAGATGTATACGTCGTTCACGTTGCATTAAGACGACCTTCGCCTTGCATTAAGACTTCTGAAAACTTCGTTTCTTACTAAATCGTATTAGAATTATGCACGGGACTATGATCGGATCTTTGACAAATGTCCGTCGTAAAGGTATGACATTTCTCTAGATTTTCGTTCGTTCTTCCTTTCTTTCTTTCTTTCTTTTAATAACGAAAGATCGAAGTTTCCCTTTTCAAACAGAAATAACTACGATGTATGAAAGACGAATATATCTATTATTGGAAAGACAACCACAATTCAAACACAGCGTTACAATGTTCACTTTTCCATCTGCACTGATCGTGGTCAGTTTAAATAAATACATTATTCTAGATTGGATAGATGAATCTAATTTCTTCCGAAGATAGCTTTTTTTTTTTAACAATGATTACAGCAGTAATCGTTAATTACAATAATAATGACGACAATAATGAGAGTGACGATGATAATGACAATGAAACGATGACGATGATAGCGATGATAATATAATAATAATAATAACAATAATAAATGGTAATAAGAATAATGATAATAGTACTATAACTACATTTTCCGTTTCAATAAAATCTGCCCGTGTAGAGACAATTTTTTATCGAATAACAGTTTAACGATAAGACGATCACAATAAATGACTCTGTATCCTTAACATAAACGCGACCATGATAGCATAAAACACGTATTTATCTACGAGCAAACGTTCCATGACTTCGTTAGAAAGGTGTAACGAATTGAAAATCAGGATGTCAATTTTTTTTTTCTCGGTAATTCGTTCTTTCCGAGGCAGTTAAAAGATCTGGATGATGCAATCGTATCCACGAATCGAATTTAACTGGAACATTTAATTATTTATCGACGGTAATCACTATTAACGTTGCTTCATCAGATCTTGTATCTCTATCTCTCGTTACGACGATTCCAACTATGCCCATTCCATCTACTTTGACTTTCGCTTTTTAAGGCAATGCTCTCTTAGCAACGTGGTCCACAAAGAGTATTGCGAAATGCAAGCGGATAATGCGCTTCGTGGACGACGTGCTGCATCGTGTTTTATCGACGACTTGCATTTGCACGACGGGGATCGCGAGGAAAGAAGAAATAGGGAGTGGTCCGTTTCGTACAAAACACGACTGGGCCCTTTGACTCTGTTTCAGCATTGACGAAAACAAAAAAAAAAAAAGAAGCTTCGACAATTCTTCGTTACGTTCCAAAAAGGAAAAAAAAAATAAAAATAAAAATAGACGCAATCATTGTCAAAATATTTAAATGCAAACACATTCCTATACGTGGTTAAGCGATCTATAAACACAAGATGTTCTCCAATAATGAACACTACACCGAATAGTATATATCCATTAATCAAACGCACAATTTCAAGTTAGTTTCGACGAACTGCTATCGATGCGTCATTGCTTCCCATCCGTACGAACCTGTCATTATTGTATTTACAAATAATAATTACTTGCACCGCTTATTTTCACATGTACATATTCGCATGCCTGGTATATTGTACGTACAATAAAAGAAAAGAACTTGTGCGATCGGCGTATGTATACAATATATATAATATATATATGTAAGTATATATAATGTATATATGTATATCTATATCGGTATAATCGTGGCCACGTAAAATTTATTAGTTAATTATTAATTCGGTATCCGTTTGTTTCTCGCTTGCATACGCGCATACAATAGTCGATCATCATTACACTTACAAATTTTGTTTACATTCAAGTAGCAAGTATATATATTATCTTTTACTTTTGTTGTGTTTTTTTTATTGTATCGCGACCGACGAAAACGGACAATCAATCTACCAATACTTCTTCAATACATTTTTGTATGTGATTTGTTTTTTTCTTTTCCCTTCGTTATGGTCAATCATATCGTATTTTTTCTTTCCCTTTTTTTCTGTTGTTCAATACCGTTGAATAAAGCATTCAAAATTAGGACGAACGCGATTCTCCATTCGAAAGAAAAGGGAAAGAAAATAAAATCGTAACGAAAAAATAAAACGCGTAAGAATGCTCGCAACAATATTAATTACGCAATACTCGTTACTCGTTCGTACACTGACATACACAAAATGATGTTTCATATTTCTTTGTGCTGGATGAACATTAAAGTTTCACGGAAGTTTCATTGACAGGTAATATTATATATGTATATTCGCAGGCTCGCTGTCTCTCACTCCCTAACATCCTTACTTTCACTCTTACATCTGTCATCAAGTTTTACAGTAAAAATAACACTTCGTAAAGTTATAAATACCGTTACAAACTATGGCTTGTCAGTTATGTATTAGTACGATAGGTATACATATATATGTATGCACACGGGCCCATATATTGATATTACATGAGAATACATTTATGAGGGTGTGGGCTTGTCAGCATGTGCGGAGTAACCGTTATGCAATGTCCGGAATTTCTATCCTCATCGTTTCGATAGCCACAACATTTAAACATGATCGGATAGAACACTATCTAATGGATTAAAAATAATCAGATTATCCATACTGCTGGATAAGAACAGTTTCCAAAGGACACGAAAAGAAGAATGATCCATTGTCGTAAAGTTTCAAAAAAGAGAAAACGTCGCAAGACCGAGTAGTCATATAAAAAATAAAAAAGGGAAATATCAATCAAACTGCCAGAGTTTGTCTTCCTTCCGAGAAACGTTCTATGAACAATTTTCTTTTCATCTCTTCTGCTTCACAAAGAAGTGATCGATCGTAATGAAAGAAAAGGAAGAAATAAGAGTGAACATGATCAAATTTATTAGAAAAACGTTTAAAACAAGACGATAATAAGGATAGTAAGACCGGATGCCCCAATATATTTACGTTGCGTTACATAAACCGGAACGTGGCTTATTCGTATCCCTATTTTATTCAGTTTAATTTGACGATAAAAAAAACTCTCGTTACCTATTATAAAAGTAGATGTTACACAGATCAGTAACCCGCACTTAATCTAGGGGTACGAGGGTGTATGTATGCGAGTGAACGTGCTGCCACGAAGAATTTTCTATCTTTTTCTTTCTGTTACTAATACGTGTATCAATTCATCACTTTATATATTTATAGCAGTAGAATGCACGTGTGTACGCACGTGCGAGATATAGCCGCAATGCGCGTAGTTCCAAAGCAGTTTGCACACGCGTACAAACTCCTCTCGTCCTCTGGATCTGGTATGAAATTGAGAAAAAAATATGTGAAAGGAAAGATACGATTAAGATTCGAAAGAAAACAATAGGAGACTTACCATATACAGGGTGTCCAAATAGTAAAGATACTTGAGATAAGAAATTCGCACATCGCACTTTGGTTCAGGAAACTTTACCCTAAGAAGTTCCGATGATAACTGATCATTTGGATGAATCGATCGAAATTTGTACATGTTACCATTGCATACTCTCGGGACATAAAGCATTTACTCGAAAACGGGACGCGGGACTTTACGTTACGAAGTCGAATAAATAAGCAACATATTATACCTCCGTATGTAATAACGTTCACATTGACGTACTTTGATTGTTGTAATGTTGGAGCCTAACGCTATAGTCAGAAGTGTACGTGTAAAATGAATTTCCCACGTGGCACATTTGTCTTGCGTACGTTTAGGATTTATATGTAGATACTAGCTACAATGATAATATATGTGCCTAAGTACACGAATTAAAGTAGTTCAATGGAAATCAGTAAAAACGATATCAGTGAGGAATCTCGATTTATAGGAAACGCACATAAAAACATGAATCCGTGGACGGTCACCCTGTACATATTTGATACATAGTTATATAATTAAAACGCTCTTCGAAATACTGTAAAATCTCACAAAATACTCTTCTTGTAAAAAGGTGCGGCTGAGACTCCTACGGGTCGGGCCAATGCGATTAAAAGTCGAGATTCGGAAATTCGAAAAAATTAGTTTACCAATAAACACGGTTATATCATATAATTAAATTGTTTTAAGGGGCAAGGGAAAAATAGAGATTCGAAAAATGAGTAAAGAAACGTTCAACGATAAGGATTTTTATCGGTGAAATTACCTAAGTCTTAGGAAACATTCTTAATACTAAATCTGAACGAGATAATAACGCGACGAGTGTGCCGGACGAAAGAGTCGTTACACGATCGCCGTCGTGTTAATCTATAACAATGACCCACGTTAGAACATTCGCTCTCTTTCAATCGCTCTCTTTCTTTCTCCCATTCCTCTTATCAACGAATTGATGCGTAATAAGAATAAAATTAACGAGGTAATAGTTAAAATTGCACATGTTTTTCTAGCAACAAATATTATTCTCCTCCCCCTAATCACGACGTTCAGCACACTCTCGACGAAACTTAAAAAAGGAGTCGAGTGATCGAAATGCCCGAGATATTTCTCTTTTTTATGTCGAAACGATCGTTAAAGTAGAATGCGCAGGGGCATAATTTGCTTGTACACCAATGACATAATAAGCGATTCTGTGCAAAAAGAGAACTATTCTCTCCATTGCGAGACAGATTTTTTTTTAGGTAACCCCCAACCGCTGCGTATCAACTTTTCTCCTTGAATTTTGTCGAAGAAGAACGATCGACTCGCAGCCATCAATCATGTATGCGTACACGCGGAGTCTTCGACACGTTACTTTCTGAATAATTAAACGGCTTCAGATACGCGAAGAAGAGTTCCACGCACCAATGTATATCATCGTACATCGCGATACCATTCAGATCGCCCACGGTACGACTGGTTTGACTCGAGTTAGCTCAGGGTGGAGCACTACCGTAATTTTTATACGAATACATGACAGGATATGTCGGCAGGAACGAAGTCACAAGAGCTCGTACTGGCGCAAGTGCATCCGTTGAATGATGTCCCGACAATCGTTAAATACTCTCTTGATGTTCTCAGTATCGACGGCGCATGTAAAGTGCGGATAACAATAGTGCTTACCGTCTCCGCTGGCTGTGCTTATACGCTGCAAACAGTCCGATGGAAAATTTATCGTTCGCCTAACAAAATTGTGCTCAAATATCTAACACGATGTACTTACAAGAAATTCGTCTCTAATGAAGTACTTGGCCCTCATAACGTCAGGAGGTTCCGAAGGATCTGGCACTACCCCAGGTTCAGCCGGTGTCTGATATCGCGCAAATTCTGGAAAATAATCTTCTAATTTGTGCTTTCCTGCTTTTACTTTTTCCGCTAATAGATCTTGTTTATTTAAAAATAAGATTACGGAAATTGTGCGAAGCCACCTAGAAAAGGAAAGAACGGACATGTAACGAACATTTCGAACGAACATCTTATCGTACGCTGAATACTTCCAAGCAATTAAACCGATTCGTACCGATTGTTCCAAATGCTTTTGAAGAGGTCCAAACTCTCTCTGAGTCTTAACTTTGTTGGATCCTCCCTGAGTACCATGTTATAACTACTACATGCTGTTACAAATATGATTGCCGTTACATCGTTAAAGCACTGTATCCACTTTCTCCTCTCGTCGCGTTGACCACCAACGTCGAACATACTACAAACAAGCAATCATTGATGCTACACATTACGACGCTTTTATGGACGAAATGCATGCAAAGGATCGTGTTCGTGTACTATACTTTACATTTTACGTAACACCATCTACGGCTAAAAAAAAAGTTGAAATTAGAATTGATCCGCAAATTTAACTCTATCGGGATGAAATTCCGTAAGGGACCGATAAAGACTGGATGTTCCTCCGTAGAGTTAATGCGAAACACAGGATCTAACGGGAGGGCGGGGGGATAATGGGAACCAAGGCAAAAAGGGAAAATATTATAAAGTTGCGGAGGCGTTAACGCGGCTAACCGATTCCGCTGCACGTATAGCACGTAAGTCTATAGCTGTAATATACACGCCGGGATGAGGTGCGCGTCGCTGCTTTACGTTATATTTACCGTCGACCGATGTTACTGTAATACGTTGTCTATATATAGTTAGACGACACTGGAGTAAAGCGAGTAGCTATCGCTTAGGACTTACTGAAAGTTTACTTTATCGACTTGAAACCGCGTTTCGAAGATACCGGACGTAAGGACTCGACACCTGAGGATGTCCTGCAACAGATCGACCAAATTTATCATTCGAATCAAATCTGTACATTTTCGGTTTCGCGTTAAAACCTTGTATCGACGATTACCTGTTCTGTGGGTGTGTAATCCGGTTGCTTAACGATGGCTACCTTATCTAGAAAACTGAAACAGAGAACGGAAGAAACGATTACACACATCTCCTACAGTCTTCACAGTCCTAAATGTAAATTTTCACGATGTAATCGATTTGACAGTGCTATAACGAGCTACGCCTTGATCAATGTGCCAGTATTTCCCACCGATGCTGATCATCGCCGATAATAAACACAGCTAGTTAACAGTATTGTTACCGTGAGAGTTGCTTCGCGTGATTATGGTTTAGCCTAGCATCGTTAAAAATTTCGAACAATTGTCAATTGTCAGGTGTTAATGAAAACGTTTATAATCGATGCCATCCGGAAAACCGAATCAACGCTTTACCTTAAACCAAAGGAAAAAAACAAAAGATATTCCTAAGTGTTTCTTTTGGACATTTGGTGAGTGCAGAATAATTTTCGTTCATGAACTTTCCGTCCAGATGGAAACTGCAGAATCTTATGTATCGAAAGTGGCGCGATAACACACAAGATGGAAAACGGAAGTAGCTGTAGGAAAAGGGTGGAACGCTGGAGCAGGGTGAGAGAGCACCGAACGAAGAGAATTCTCTCCTTTTTTTCATGCTGCTGTCACCGTTTCTCTTGAAAGACCCTCCCCGGCTAGTGTCTAGGGTGGATAGAGCGCACGAAGGGGGAAAATCGATTCTCGGTAGTGTCCTATCCTAACCCCAACTCTCGCCCTCTCGGCCTCGCCGACTATGCCTCTCTAGCACCCAGTTTCCAATCCGGGTCATGGGTCACTGCCACCGCTGCTCGCCATCAATCGTACGTACAGACTTAGCTTCGCGTATGTATACCAGCTCCCTGTACAGGTGTATGTTGTATGCGCGAGATGCACCCTACAGGGGTGGGTCTTCGCTTTGACACCACCATACAACCTTCTACAGTCGGTTGACGGTGATAATATATTTACTGACAGACACTTGCACTGCTCTCCGGCCCGGATATTAAATAGCCGTACAGACAACGACACCTTTTTCATTGGAAATATTCCGAAACTTGAAAGAGATAACATTACTAAGATATCATAAATATAAAGAATTGCAAAATTGTCGATTCTACTACATGTATATCTACGGGATATCGTTTCGTCATAAACAAATAATACAAACGACTGAAAGGGATTTTCATAGGTACAAAGGCAGGAAGGTAGGGTAAAATGAATCACGAGATGCAACAGCAATTAATCCAGCGTTCATTGACCTCGACAGACGTGAGTAACCAGAATTTAGCTCCTCGAGTAAATTCGAGGAACCAGAAACCGGAGGAATTGATTTTCGGCAAGTAGTTGCACAGAAAAGCTGAAGAGAAGCCCCTGGGATAAAGGTCTACGTGGCTCGTGTGTAGGCTCGTGAGAAAGGTAGGTCATGAAATTGGCGCGCTCGTACAGAAATAAGGTTATCGACCTCCTGAGAATCGAAAGAGGAAGGAGGTCGTGACCCACTGGTTACAGCAGAACGATTTTCTGGTTACCGTGGCGGTGTAACTTCACCGACCTTGAAGTCAACTTTATAACAATGTTATTTCTAACGATATGACAAGCGTGACACTCCTGCTGCATCACGATCCCAGCGTTAGATTATCCAGAACCACCGATCGCTAAAATATTTTATTTTTATCGAAAATATAACATACAAGAGAATTAGGAATTTCTAGTTTTCCCGGGGTTTACTTTTCAACCAACCGTCTTGTATAAACGACAATGCGCAGGATGATGAAAAGAATAAGAAACACTTTAAGAAGATAAATGGTTCGCGAATTTTGAACGAGGTCAGACTAACTACAAAACAATGCTCGGCTCGTTGCATAAGTAACGAAATGAAGTAGACCAGATCGAATCCGCGTTGAGCATCCTTTACGTACTTTTTACATTGATTTCGACGCTTTCTAACATTCTGTTTCATCTTAAACGATCGGTTGATTCGAATTGCAAATATTTAAAGAACCTAACAATCGCTCCTTCTTGCTTCGATATAACGGAAAAGTTTCGACGTATCGCTCGATTTACAGAAAAGATTTTGCAGAAAAAAATCTCGGCAACTTCAGCAGAAGCGCCAAAGACTTTCTGAAACGATCTCATTGATTTTTTCGCGATCTATATTTAGGCAGTGGCATCGAAAGTTATTAACGAGGATAAAAAATACTGGTTTTTATCTAACATGACGATGGCACGGAAGAAGATTGTTATCGACCTAAACATTCATGAACTATGTGTGGCAACATCAGTGATCCCAGCATATAGACCAGCGTCTATATATAGAGACACGTGTTTCCTTTTTTAAGGTGTGCCGAGGTATCCCATCGTGTAATTGACACGTTACTCGATTCTCCCCGTGTACAGCGCTCGTTTTCTCTTTTTCCTCTTCTTTTTTCTTTCTCCTGCATTTTTTCCTTCTCCCTCTCCCTTACTCTTTTTTTAGTTCTTTTTTTTATTTTTAATCCGAAACAAAAATTCGATACTGAAAACGATATCGCGACGAATTACATTCTCAGCGCAATTCGATGGGCTCCAAGGGAGATACGGGCAGAATCTGAATCGCGATAATATTGCGACACGCTTCACCTGCGAATTTTATTGCATGAAATCTGACAGTTGTTCAACCCGGAAATGGCTGTGACTGAACCAACAATCGATAATCAGGCGTTGGCGCATAGCGATCTCTTATTCACGTCGCACAAATATTTATTCGCTGTGCACCAACTCCAATTCGATGATATTTTAGGAAGCTTGCCGTTGGTCCATATTCCTTTCATCTTCGATACAAGTATTCGAGACAGTTTCACTTTAAATTTCTTTGCCTTTCGGAAGGGAAGAAAGAATTGACCCATTAATTTCTACCAATTTTTGTGTAACTCGAAATCTGTTCCCTTGATCACGAATCAAGAATGAGAGACTTATCTAATGTTTAGCAAACAGGCGTCTGAAATTACAACAATCTAGCGTCGCGGGGTCCACAAGAATCTCTCCGTTATACATCTCTCGACCAGTGCTTCCTAAAAATACGATACGCTATTTTTACCCAGAGATTTCTTTCTCTTTCTTTCTATTTCGATACACAAGAGGACAAGAGAGAATCAAGGAAAAGATGAAAAGGAGAGAAACGAAAGAAAACGAACGTTTCTGTAAAACGAAAGGATAGGGAGGGGGGGGGGAGAGGCGTTAAAAAAATTCACACAAACGTCGGCCAACGAGGTGCAGTAACCGAAATGTAACCAGGTTTAATATATTTTTAACCGAAACGAAAACTATCGCCGTGATCTTGATGCGATCTCGCCGTGAAATGCGAGACACTATTTGGCACGTTGCTAAATCACGTCGATCGTGAACGTATTCCGAAGTATTCTCGTTTCGTGTCTCACGGGGGTATCAATTGAACGATAAACGCTTTAATTTCTCCTACTATTGACAGTGCGACGATGACGATAATAACGACAAGGATATTCATGGTAATTATACATGCGGAGACGAAGAGAGATCCAATGAGGCTGCAGCCAAATAAAAAATGTGTTCTGCCTAATTAAAGTATTTGACGAAATAATAAACAGCAAACGAAGTCACATGTTCGGGTTTGTTAGTTTAGTGGATAAGTTTCGCGTTTACATTCGAGATTCACGCCTCTTTGCTCACGATTCAGTGCAACAACCTGTGCCTCACCTATGTAATTTTCAAAGGGATACAGTTTAAAGTGATCTGCTGGACCGGGACGGTTCGCAGCGGACCAGTTTTTCGCTCATTTATATATCGGATCGGCGGTTATTCCCTCCAAGTTACGTGACGTTCAAAAGAAGAATGCCGAAAGTAATATATCTTTGTAAATACACGGCGTCACGATCTTCATGACACTCCGTTTCCAGTTTCATCCAATTATCTACTTGTTATTAACCGTTCAATCGGTAAATATGAATTTGTCAAACGCACTTTCGACGAAGGCGTCGCCTTTCAAACTTTATCTTATTACAGATTTATGGCTAGGAAAAATACAAATTCGCAAATGTTGCATCAAGCTTTTAAAGAACAGTTTGAACTTGGTTACCATCTTTAGACAAACTCTATCGAAATCCGTACAGGTGGAACGCACAAGGAAAAACAAATATCTTATGTGTGCAGTGTTAAAAATATCGTTCGGAGTGCGAGAGAGAGAGAGAGAAGAAGAGAGAAGAAGAGAGAGTGGAACAAAAGCAAGCACAGCATGTTCGAACGGTATGTACCTAAACAGCTCCCGTGTCAGTGAACAGCGTGAAAAAAGTTCGAGGTTGGGCCAATTCATCGAGAACCCCTAGATAAACGAGTGGCCCCTATTAAAGCGATTACCTCGTTAAGGCATTGTCTCCATTGGCATTAAATCGGTGTCACAGGCCCATGAATATACACGGATATACCATATGTATCGCGGTCATGAGAACGCTTCCGAAATTTATCCAACCGCGTTGCAGACTATTTACAAGTCAGATACGATAACAAATACAAATATACTCACACAACCAGAAATACAGGTACGAATACATAGGCGAATCGTTACACTTTTTCACGGAACCACGAGTTCTCGTTTCAGGTTATACTCGTCTGGCACGCGCGGAATAGTTGAAAGGATAGCGGACGAATCCGCGGGCAAATCCGGCGCGATTCGCGGTCTCATTATCATCGTATAAACCTTATCATACGTACTTCTTATCGTAATCATGATATCAGTACCGGGGCGAATTAGAATAACCGTGTGTCGCGACTCGAGTACACGAGCTATTTGACGCTACGAACCTGGCCAATAACTCTGCTCTCTTATTTTTATCATTGGGCACTTCACGATCTGTCTTACCGTATATACTATACTATACGATCCATTCGAAAATCAAACTGATTCATTTCCCGAAAAGTATTCTATTTTAATGCCCTGATGTACAATCTAGTATTTAATTTTGCACTTCAGTGTAGCATTAAATTTGTTTTAACGATCGTACAAACAAAGGATAACTTACTATTTGGCGCAGTCAATTAGTTGATACTCATTACTCCTCTCGAAACTCTGTTGAACGCCCCGGTCCTTCCAAAGGGTTTCGACAATATCGTAGAACTCCTGCAAACATGAATTGTAATTCGGTTAACGTATTACAACATTAAAAAATAACATTAAAAAATAAATAATTATTTGACGGCGCATCCGTGGGAGATTTGTAAATAAGTTCACAGTTTGGCGGCCGCTTCTATCGTGTCTCATTAATTATCTAAAAAACGTGCGACTCTGACGAAATGGAAAATTTGGCTCGAACCCGGCCACTATCGTGACAACAGAATATGCCGCGTCACAGTTGGACCAGTGAAAAAGACGATTCGCAGCGTAACTTATGCAAAACTGGCAGCCACGGAGCACGTCCGTTATCGACAAAAATATTTTCATTTTTAATTCTGTCGCCGGCTTTGTCGCCGTATTATCCGCTCCTATATAAAAATGGATATCGATCAGGTATCTAAGTCAAGATAAATATTCGAATAGCATCTATTGCCGAAGCGTTGTCGGATAGAAAATAAAGCAACCGACAATTACGATAATTTTCGAAAGGAATAGGATTCAATTTCGAAAGAATCGAGATACGGGCAAACGTTAATTTGTCAAGAGAAGCGACCAATAAATTGTAAACTTATGCGCTTCTCGCATCAAAGCGGAAAGTCACCACGTTGAAAGCCTTTCGAGAACTTCTTCGAATCGCTAAATTTTATATTTTGAGAGATGTTTCGGATCTCAAAGCAGACCGATCCAACTTTCTCAACCTCCAAGTCGCTACATAAACTCCGATATTTTCGATTTTCCTGTCTTTTTTCCAAAAGTACTTCGAACCAAAAAAGACAAACATTCTACAGAGACAATTGTAGATAGGTGTTAGCCTTTCCCGCAGTACGTAACAAACATTTCAACGTTTATTTAGACGTATTTCCGTATAACAGGAATTAGCCGCACAGATGCGCCCGGTGATAGAGTTGCGGTCAAATTCGGTGTAGAATTCGACTCGAAATAAACTTCCGTACTCTCAACAAGCGACGCCTAGATATGCGAAAAGCGAAACGACAGTGACAAATTGGACGCGGCTCATCGAACGTAGCCGCGGAACAAAATAAAAGGTAGCCTCTGCCCGGTAACTTCCTCTTAATACAAAGACATGTTTATTCGCACGCATAAACATATCTTTCACTGTTTAATATATCCTCGCGGTGGAAATTCAAATCTAAACCCTTCACCTTATCCGACGGCCGGATGACTATCTTTACCATACTCGTAGGTGTACTCCATCCATCCGGTTAAGGTATTTCGATGAAACACTTTGTCGAGCAAAAATCGAGCAAAAAAAAGAGAACGGGACGTAGTATCACGTGGGAGCTCGAAACTCCCGATTAGCTCGTAACTGCCGATAACAAATGGCTTAATTCGATTAATTCGGATGCATCGTTCTCGATGGTTATGGTGTCGAATCGCGTGTAGCGAAGAAGAAAATACGACAATTTGCGTCTGTACAACCAGGGCCAGAGATACGTAAAAGTACATACGTACACATGTACCCACGTACCAACAACTGCCAGTGAATGACGCAAAACACATGGATTATTTTGTCGCGACGACTTTATTTCGAGATGCGCTACGTCGTTTCGCCAGTTCGGAGCGTTCGGGGGTTTCGTAGTTCTCGAAATCTCGGTCTGATCCTCTTGGCACGCAAAAAATCATTATTCTCCTCGAACTGACAGAAGTTTCGACAACGCCGATCCGTGAGTGAGTCCAGTCAGCTGGTTGCAGAAGATGTCAATGCCTCCTCGACCCCTAAAATCTTTTTCATCGTCTTTTCGATCTAGCCTTGCACGGTGCGAATTATGTTTTCCTGTACCTACCACGCTTCCTAGTTAAATGTATCCGGAAACGATAATCGGGTATATTAGTCACGGGAAAATCGATCGAGAGGAATCACCGAAAATATTGTCCGATGTTTCCTCGTCTGCCTTGGAGGACCTTGCCGGCTCGTCGAGAAAATGCACGTTGATAAATTCTCCGTGTCGTCGATCCAAGTTACACAGGGCGAATTCGATAAATTCGACATAGCGCGGACATCATACAGAGGAACAACAAATCGGAAAATCTTTAAGGGATCGTGCTAGTAACTTCAGCGCACGTTCCAAAGAGGCGCGGCAGAATTGCTGGCCTGAATACAAAATGACTAAACGGGTTAAATAACGTGTACCGCGCTCGCTCGTGTCGTAATATTTTAATGGTACACCCTCCCCTGTTTTCCCCTATCTAGTTTCACTATACGATTCATTGTACGCGCGGCTTGTGAAATTACGCGATCCATACCAGAACATTCTTGTCGTACGTCTGCCGCTTATAAACGCACGTCTGGTGTCCTCGAAATAATGCTCTCCTTGATTAAAATCATCACGGTAATAAAATTTAATTCTACCGCTTGCCATCGTATACCGCGAAATATATTTGTCACGCGCGGAAACAGTCAATCGATGTGTTTCATAAAATAAAATCGGATACTTATCTTGGACGAAAATCAAGTCGCGATTCTAAGAATATACATTCGAATTTCTTTCGTTTTGACAGCACGGGAAATTTTACAGGGAATCAAGAAATATTACTCTTGAAAATTCTTATTAAAAGTCGATCACTATCGTCGTGACTGATGGTGAGCACCAGATAATCGAAGGCGCACGGTAGTCGATCGACACAAAGATCTACGAGCGCATTTTGTACACGAGGCGGGGAATGGCGCAGCACATCATAGCCAGAGCATTGTATAGCACACCACATATGCGATGGCTGTGTAAACATTGTAAACACCGATCATACCACGCAGTGGCTCTCACGCGAAGAAATGCTACCAACGTGTATCGTAAGCTACAAGAAACTTTCGGTACCGCAAGAGTATCACGCTTGCCCTGAGAAAAGGACAATCCATTGTAATTGGTCAGCATGATCGTTTACTGTTCATCCTTCCGACGCTTTAAGGCCTCATAAGTCATTTACATTGCGCTGTATAGTAAAGTTCCTCGTCTGCCCGAGACACCGGCCTTTCATTCAACGAAAAGACGAAAGCGAACCGCTCGTACAAAACTGGAGCGTATTTTTCATCGTATTACATTAAGAAGGTACACACGGCACGCGGAACAAATAGGTTGGCTGTGACTCACCGGGGGATAATCGAAGTCCGTGGCAGACGAGACCTCCAGGATATAGTCGACTTTGCTCTGATTCGCCGGATCTTCCAAAGCAACGGGTGGTGTTAGCGTGCTCATCGCGCTGGTTATCGTCTGAAAAGGAACGCATCGAATGAAAAAACGGAAGCCACGCTGTCCACGTGCATCGATGTATCGTATAGCATACGTATGCACGTAATTCCACGACGATTACGCTAACGACAACGTTCATCGCGAACGGAAAAGAAAGTGCATTCTTCGCGGGATTGCGATGTGTATGCGAAATTTCCATCCCGGCCGTATCTATCGCTACATGCGCAGATAATATGTCATTCATAATCCTTAAGTGCCACGGGGCAGCTTGTCTATTACATTCACCCGACATACGGAAGCGATTGCAAGGTTACAGACGATACGCGTATCTAAACACGGCCTCGAACGACAAATTGATGACAGCGCGCTGCTCTCCTCAGCACGGCGTTAAACCGTCGCGAATTTACGGGCGCATCACGTAACGTTAATGACGAGACGCCCGTCAAAACGGACGCGTTTACCGCCATTTCGATAGATATTACGAAATAAGGTTTTTATCTCTGTTGAAACGTAAATTAAAAAGTTGTTCGATTTCATGGCCCGAGACATTTTCTTCGGCAATACCGTAATACTGCCGTTGTAGAAAACACCAACGCTTCGTATCGATTTAGCTATAAATCACTAGATTCCCAGAATACGCCGCGTTATTCGACGCGTTTCACGAATATTACTCCGAAAGGGTATTTTCGGAGAGGGAAACGTGTTGTATAGTTATCGTTAGCCAAGACACATGTGTGCATAATAGTGCCACCGAACGATATTTTAATAAGGCTGTAACAAACCATTGCCGAGACCAATCGTCTTAGAGAAACAGAAGAACGATACAACGTAAGCTACTTTATGTTCTGCTCCGCGTTTCACCATTTATCCCGAAGGATAGTAGTCCGTTGATTATAAAATCCGCACAGCGAAATAAAAATAAAACGCGACGCATGAAGGAAAAAATCTCGGTCGAGTAGCGGGTATCGCGCCAGGTTTGAAAAGGTATTGCATAAACAAATATCGAAAAGGGATTCTTACCAATATCGCGTCTCTGATGTTCCTTTTGATGTCGTCGATTTTTTGCCGCTTTTCCCTGCACAGAACAGCGTGAGAAACAAACGATATGTTTGATCCTTCGATCTCGATATTGATGCATCGTTGTGTACATCGCTGAATACTCTTAATGCCGTGCGTAAAAAAAGAAACCAATGACTCGATCATGATTATATAAAGAAATATCGAAACAAGTTAGGCTCGAGCAATATTTACCACGTATACGCGCGTATTTTCATTATTAATGGCACCCGAGTCATTCGGTAATTTTAGATCGCACGGCATCGCGCCAGTTTTAGTATAACGATTTCGTCGATTTGGAGACACACTGGAAATTTCGTGAATCTAATACCGGCGATCGATGCGACCGACTCCTCACCGTCACAACTATGGGACAGCAGCATCGAATTTTCATGTGGGATACCTGTGCCAGGCTCCTATCGTCACTCGAGCAAAGTTCAGTCGTTTAAGACTCTCGCGTACATGTGTACATGTATCACATACGTACATTATAAGATGACGACAGTCGCGATCTAATACAGGTTCCCATTTTTATAGTGTTGTTATTCCGTTCAAGTTCTTTACGCACAATGCTGTGTATCATGTATATCGCCGCCGCAATTTCGCGTCTTGTTCACATGATACTTAGAAATTCGTCTTTTCGTCTGCTTCCCTACTTTTCATCGTGTTTCTGATTTCCCTTATCCTGGTGATCCTTCGGTTCTCCACGTTTCAGACGTATGTGACCGCGGATTAAAAGGCTTCGCGCTGTTACACGCGATATTCGAATACAACGCTAAAAATAATCGAACGACTACCTACTCCAACGATTTCGCCGTTTAGTAGGATTATACGTTAAAAGTCTCACTGTTCCAAAAGCTGCTACTGCAAATGTAAATATATTTACATAACCCTATTTACTTAATTGCAGCCGATCGAGGTGTCTGTGCATTTCATGGGCTCCTATCAAGCATATACAAACGCGGGCGAGGAAGATAATCGAGAATGATGTTAATTCGTACACGTGTAAAAAAGCTTCAGAGGGTAGAAAAGAAAAAGGAAGAAGGAAAAAATACTAAAAATACGCAAGGTTATACGGTATGTTTCCATAGTAAACAAGCGAAATCTGCAACGAGCGCGTCGAACACGCAATGCTTCTTAGAATCGCGTCGCTAGCAAAAAAGAGTCCGTTAAATTCGACGATAGAAACAACTTTTCGCGATTCATGTGAAAACAACTCCGAACAATGTATCAATCCCGATATCGTCGATAAAAAGAAAAAGAAACAAGAAGAAGACAGATAAGAAGAATGAGTAAGCAAGAAAATAAAGAAGAGAAAAAAACGGATGAAAAAAAATCACCGCGAAAGTAGTAATAAGGCGTGCGTTCGGGTCCGTTATCAGCGCCGGAGGCAGACAGAATTTACGACACACACGAACCGGGCCGAGCCCGTTTGTTTGCACATCGTTTTCATCCTATCTAGTTGCTCCTGATTTTTCACGTATATAGGTGTACCGACATTCTTTTTACGATAACGACTTGTTTTTATCTAGTTTGCACCGTTTCGCGACTGTATTTTTAATCCGTTTGCTTGATTCCTAGCAAACGGTAGCTGGATACGAAAACGGATCGACCGAAGAAGAAGAAAGGAAAAGTATCGAAAGTGAACGAAAGGCGCGTATTTGTTGAACGATTTACGGAAGAACTGCGTTCTTGAAATGATTACAACGATAACGTCGCGAAGAAAAAAGCTGAAGCAAACAGAGGAAAAGAAAGTTAGAATATGCGAGGAATAATTTGCTTGATCCACGTGTTGATATTGTAATCACGCGATGGACCGAATTAACCGTAGGTTGAATCATTCACGAGTGCGTATTAATGGGAAAAAATAAAGGAGATTTGTTACCCAAGATTATGTACCGGTGGCATTACCGTGCTGTGCGAATAGTATCGAATGTTGGATTGGCTTAAAAGTAGTAACGCTGTAACGGAGCAACGAAACTTACGCTTCGCTGAAGCCACCATCCGTGTGCAATATCCTCATCTGTTTGACGATGGTGCTCTTCCCCGATTCTCCCGCTCCTAGAACGTAACAAAAGAAACAATTTCTCTGTTTCTCCTTTTTCTTTTATGAAAAAAACATCGTTCAAGTTGAAAAGAGGAAACGACTAAGAAACAGTGGTTTAAACATATATATTTAAAGATCGATAGTGATTTTTTGAACGATCGTTTGAAAAGCTATTCGACGAACGCGCAAGACGCGGCATATTATCGTATCTTTTTTTGGAAAACAGGAATAGGATCGTAATTGCAGACGACAGGGGAACAATACAGTAACAGCTGTTGCTTCGTAACCTACAGCTACGAGTCAACTATACGCAACACACAACACACGTCCACACGTCGAATTAGAACGACGACCTACATAAACGAAGAATAGGAAGGTAATGGCTAGGTGTTGGGTTAAGTATCGCAATAAGTAGATGGTGTGCATACATGTGTGAGGGCGCACGCGCACACCCACATCGGCCGACTATGTGAAAAAGACTCCGGTTCGGGAGAAGGAGAAGAAGGAGACGAAGAGAGCGACACGAAAAGGGTACAACATGAGCCAGCCAGCCGCTGGATATTCGTGGGTGCCGGCTCATACGATAATCGATAAAATTGAATTACGCGCTGCTGAACATCGCGATAATGTTCGGCCTATCCTCTGACCGGATTCGCTTTTTGTCCAAAATTGGTGATCGAAGCCGATTCAACTGGTATTCTAGCGGAAATTTTCTCCGTTTCTGACACGTGTACATAGATATAGACTATATACCGTATTTAAAAAAGAATAGATAAAAAAGGAAACACATCTTTAACGAAACGTACTGAGACTTAACTACAGAGAGATTTAGTTAGAAACATGTGATAACCGAAGATATCCACGGAATAAAAGGTCGTCAAAGTAGTGATGGAAGGTCCTAAAAAAAGGGAAAGTTTAACAAGTTGACTTACCAAGCAGAAGGAGCCTATGGGTAGCTCGATAAACTTGCTTGTCCTTTTGCAATTGCCTGGTAATGGCATCCGAGCGCCTTTTCTGGTTCTTACTGTCATCCTGGCTGGCCTTACTGCTCTGGCTGCCGAAACACCCCATGACACACCACGAGAGAGACACGCGCGGCTCACCCTCTTCGCTCTTCCCTTCCACTTCTGTAGTTCTCTGTTGTTCTCGGCTTAGAGAAAGACGGTATCTCGCCACTATGTTACTCTCGAACGAGGGAGAATAGACTCGCGCAACGGGTCTACCGTCGGCGCGTGTTGTTTATCTCGCGTAAATGTGACGTTCGATAAGTATACCCTCTGGCACCGCAGTTCCTACAGATTCACTCCCTTTCCAAGTACCTATATACCTACTGCAAGTTCGTTCCTTCGTTCCGGCCGTGTCTGTCACTCGATACTTATCTATCACCGTATCGCGCTTCTCCACACTCGAGTTTCGTCCTTCCCTCTTCCTCGAGTAGCACTCCCTCTCTCGTGCGCTGGTCTTTCTCCTTTTCTGCCTCTGTCGTGCGTTTACTATCTCCGTTTTGTACACTAGCAACAACTACGCGTATGTATATCTCTTGATGTCTTCTCTCCGTTGCACTCACACTCGATTCACTTCACGGCTTCTCTTTCACTATCTCGCACTACCCGCGAAACCATAGCTACACACGATTGACGACAGTGCTGCTGGTCCAACACGCTGGTTTCGAACGACGATCGACTTCTTGTGCGTATTTTAAGTACGAATATACAGAAAAGATAGGATCGGAATGATCGCCGAATGCCGGAGTTTCTACCAGCAATCGGTCGTGTTGAAACGACGACGGGTTTACGGGGTCGTGACACCTGGCCCGATAAGAAATTGATCCACTCAGAAGAATATAGGCGAATCGTGCGATACCGAGCACGATTAAATTGGTTGCAGATTCGATGAAAAAATACCGACGATATAAGAGGAATCAAATCACTTCCGAATCTTCGGTTGGAACACTGACGAAAACCGGCC